TTATTTTTCTAATATTTTTTTCCAATATTTAAACCTTTTTGTTGCTTTTTCTAATTCTATTTACCAGCTGAATATCATTAGCATTGTAATAATTTGAGCACTTAATTATTTACTATTTTATACCAATGGGCATTATAATACAGATACCAACTTGTGCCACCGCCGCTCATGAAAAAGGCTGACGTTTGTAGGCCATAAAGCGACGCAACCTCACAAATACCACTCCACATAGTCATCATTGGCGGCTGCGCGGGTGCGTGAACTCTAATCCCATCAGCGGCGCAATGACCGCAAAGCAGCACAGTTTTCTTTAAAGCGAGTTTTTACTTATTTTTTTTTTTTTTTTTTACAAACGATCTTGTCCAGTGGTCGGAGCAAGCTGGACACTTTGCAATCAATTTTAACCGATTTGCTATTATTTTTTTAACGCTTTTTACACTTTGTTCAGCACTTCCATTTTGTTTTTGGTTTTGTCTTATTTTTTCTTTTACGGCGCGCTTATCAGCTGRTTTTCACACTCAACTCAACACTTTCTGGTGACTAGAGGTGGTGGTGATTTCAATGCGATATGCTGATAAGACTATTGTGTGTTTACGGTCTTCGTTTGGCGAGCGCAAAAAAAAAAAACACAACAACAACAAAACAGTGTAAAAAAATTGTTCTTATTCTTCTTCAGCGACATCTGCACTTTCTACGCGCGGCGGCAACGCGACTTYGCGCACGAAACACGCTTACTGGAGAGTTGCCCGACAACTAGTTTTCAATTGATACAATAATCGAGCATAAACCCACCGAAAATGTKGAAATAAATTGTGACAACAATAACAACAACAAGCAAAAGACATCATACAATACAAAGTGTAGCCAATACAAATTTCGAGTGCAAAGACAGTATGCAGAAGAGAATGAGCGTTAAGATGGAACACAAATAAGAAATGAATTGAAATCAAATGCCAGCGATATTTTATCACATCATTATATATGTATGTGTGATATGTGTGAAGAAATGTATGGGTATAATTGTGTGTTGGGTTAARTGTGCATATGTGGTGGCTTGATGATTCTATTCATAAGAATTTCACTCAGTTGAAGGGAACAAAATGTCTGCAAAATTGTAGACCCTCCCCCAATGGTTTAATTTTTCTTATTTTACACAAAAATAAAAGAAACCAAAAAATGTTAGCCTCGAAGCTATAATACCCTTTACAGTTGCATATTTAGTAGCAAAAAAGGTAATAAAAATAATTTTTTCTTGATTTGGTTCGGTCAGTTTGTATGCTAGCTATATGCTATAGTGGTCGGATCTGAACAATATTTACGTTGATTATAGAAATACCTGACATAATAATATATGCCGAATTTCGTACAGATATCATTTCAAATAAAAAAGTATTCCCTACAAGGTCTTGAGTTTGACCGATTAGTTTGTATGGCAGCTATATGCTATAGTGGTCGGATCTGAACAATATTTACGTAGATTATAGCAATGCCTGAGATAGTAGTTTATACCGAATTTCGTGAAGATACATATCTTTTGAAATAAAAAATGCTTTCATATAAGGACTTGAGTTTGACCGATTAGTTTGTATGGTAGCTATATGCTATAGTGGTCGGATCTGAACAACATTTACGTAGATTATAGCAATACCTGACATAATATATATGCCGAATTTCGTACAGATATCATTTCAAATAAAAAAGTATTCCCTACACGGTCTTGAGTTTGACCGATTAGTTTGTATGGCAGCTATATGCTATAGTGGTCGGATCTGAACAATATTTACGGAGATTATAGCAATACCTGACATAATAATATATGCCCAATTTCGTACAGATATCATTTCAAATAAAAAAGTATTCCCTACAAGGTCTTGAGTTTGACCGATTAGTCAAAGAATGTTCTTTGCCAAATAAAGAAGTGAATATACCCTGTTCTGGGTATAAAGATTAGAAAAATATTGTAAAATGGTTGCACAATTATTATTACTTAAGTATCTATGAATTACTAGCAGGGTCAATGCTGTGCTCGGTTGTATAAGATATGATTAGCAAGGTTCCAAACCTTAAGCCAAAAATGCAATCTACATAAATTTGAAAAGAACAGCTATGGCAGATAACGCTTTAAAAGTTAATATACTATGCGTATATAATTAGCATGAAAAGCTATTTCCAATCTAGCATTACTCTAGCAGTAGGCAAAGGTATGATTTTCAAGGTTCCAAACCATACGCCAAAACTGCAATCGATATACATAAATTTGACAATAGCAGTTATGAGTTATGGTAGATACCGCTTTTAAGGTTTATATATTATACACAATTAGTGTGAAAAGATATTTTTTAGTGTAGCATTACTCTAACTGTAAGCATAAGTAAATTTCTACAAGATAAGATATACCAATACGACGATCTTATATATATTATTGAATAAATTATTAATGTTACACGTGAACACTGCTAGGTAGAGTGTGGGTTATTAACCTCAAAGTGTTTAAATTTAAAAATATAGATTAGATTACAGTTTAGACTGTTTAAATAAAAAATAAATTTCAAGAAATTCAACCGCAGCACCACCTTTTTTTCCACTGTGACTCTAGAGCTTTTTAGCGGCTTTGGAAGATTCTTTATGCCTTTAACCATAATTTAATTACAGACAATACTTTTGTGTAAAATACCGACACCAGATCGTCTATCAGTGCGGTCAAAAGCCAAAACGACGACAGCGACATCTCACGACAAATTTAAATTAATTTTACTACTATTGGTAAAAAAAAAATCCAAGGAACTGCATACGATACAGAAAAGTTCGTGCCACACTTTTAACCCTTTATATACCAATTCAAGTAAATTTTTTTACGTTCCAACGGGGAACCAACTGTTTATACGCGAAATAGTCGCTCAGTTCTTGAAATATCGAACTGAAATTGTCCACACAAACTTTTCTCCCCAAAAAGCTGCTCATTGAGCGAAACCACCGAGATTGGGCAACTATAGCAAATAGCTATAGTGGATCCGCCCACTGTAGCCATACAAACTGACCAAACAAAATTAAGTTAAAAATCTTTTTATATCCTTAAAGTTGGCCAAAATTACATTGTGAAACGTTTTATAGATTCGATACAGCCGAAATTAAGATTATGTATTATTTTTTAAACTTTTATATACCGATAATATATATATTTTTAATATTATATCGCAGGGTGAAAGGGTTAATGTAATAACAACATGTATATTTTTTAATATTATCTCGCAGATTGTAAAGGTTAATGTAACAAAAATGTTCCCTACATTTAAAAAAAAAAAATACATAAATGTTTTTTTTTTGTTCAAGGGTTAATGTTTCAACTTTTCCACATTATATTATTTTGTATTCGAATTTTAGCAAAATTTACACCAATTTGAAGCGCCGATTTTCTTAAGAATATATGCGTTGAAACGCTTAAGGTGGTTAAGGATTATGTGCAAGGGTTAATGTGTCAACTAATAATATAATACAATTATTTTGAATTAGAATTTTAAKACTATTTAAACTGTGATACAACTACTTAAAGCGCCGATTTTCATAGGAATATATGCATAGAAGAACTTGAGTTGGTCAAGGGTTAATGTTTAGAATATGAGCTTTTTTTTWAATATAGTTTAACCCATTAATTCACACTTTTTCCGATATAAACGAAAGTGTTAAATGGGGTTTCATAGGATATACTTTAGCCCATTTATAAGGACTTTTTCCGAAATAAACGAAAGAGTTTAAGAGTTTTTTTTTATAAGAATATATGCGCAGAAACCGTGTTAATTTAGGGTTAATGTTTAGAGCATGAGAAGTTTTTTTTTTTTTTTTTTTTTTTTTTTTTTTTTTTTTTTTTTTTTTTTTTTTTTTTTTTTTTTTTTTTTTTTTTTTTTTTTTCATTTTTTTTTTTTTTTAATTTATGTTTTTTTTGTTTGTGTTTTTTTTTTTTTTTTTTTTTTTTTTTTTTTTTTTTTTTTGGTAAATATACTTTAACCCATTAATTCGCATTTTCTCCGAAATAATCTAAAGAATTATAGTCTTAGAACTTTTATATCACAAAACTGTTTCACATAAAACTACAATAAAAACTAAAAATGTAAACACACAAATTCTCAACCACAACACAAACACTAAGCCACACAATGAGGCGAAACAAAACCAAGAATGCTTTCAAGTGGTTTGAGRACATACTTATCGCAATTACACTTGGCGGCGTTAGTAACCACAGACATGTGCGCCCACACACCACTACGCACAAAGCCAAACTTACGTGGGTACATACCTGTTGCATAGGCTGGTTCGATTTCTTCTTCGGAATGCAAGTGTTGTTGCTGTTGCTGTTGTATTGGCACAGTCGGTATAGGAACAGGTATAGGTAGACGCTCGTAGTGTATACAATCATGGTGATATTGATGATGATGATGCCCATTATGTATGGTGCCGAGTGTGCTGCTGCGACCACCAACACTACCGCCACTGCCACCGCTACCGCCCATGCCGCAAACATTCAAGCCGCTACCCTCACTGCCATGCAAGCTGCTGCGATGTGGATTCTCCATTATGCCGCCAACCATGCCGCCGCCGCCGACRTTGATGCCAACAACGCCCACACCGACACCGACACCAACGCCGACGCCACCACTCGTGGCTGGGCCCATGCGACAGCTGCCGATAAAAACGCTGCCACCACTACCACCGCTGCCACCGCCCGAATCATCAGTGGTGGTGGTGGTGGTGTTTGTTGTTGTATTCATTGTATTATGACAACGACTAGAACAGCGTCCCAACGAACCGCTGCCACCGCTATGATGATGACCACTCATACCAGCAGCGCCAATCATACCCATGCCCATGGCCACACCAACACCAATACCACCACCGCCTCCGCCCATCATATGACCAGCATGGCTGCTGCCTATGCTCATGCCGCCCATGCCATGTACAACACCACCGCCGCCGCCGCCGATGCCGCCACCCATTGTAGAGCCGCAACCTTGACTCGAGTCTGAGCCCGAATCATGACCCGGACAAGCACCGGCCGAGCCGGGTCGTGAACCGATCAAACTCATTGTGGAATGTGGCGGCGTTATCGATGTCGATGTCTGCATATAATGATGCGTATAGGGATGCGGATGCGGTACATCATAGTCGCCGGTATCAATTGCGCCCGACAGCATGCCGACGCTGCCGCTGGTGCTAGCGCCACCCATGCCGCCGGCACCCATCAAATGTCCCATGCTGCCCTGCAGACAGCCCATGGAGCCGTGCGCGCTGCCAGTTCCACCGCCGCCGACGCCGCCGCCATAGCTGCCGTGATGACTGCCACCATGAATGCTACCGTGAGCGCTACCGCTGCGRCTGTGCAGTGAGACGCCGCGCGTCAACGTGTTATTGGCCGATTGTATGGATGAGACGACGGCGCCGCGACACAATATATCCGACAGTTGATTGGCCTGCAGACCAAAATATTTCGACTGAGCGTATGGTAGTAACACAAAAATGTAGTAATGTAATGTCGATGATCGAGTTGAAGTCGGATGAAATGGTCGTTCAAAAMATGTTTTTATCAGATTTTTGTTTGTGAGTTTTCCAATCGATGAGCGCCGATAAGAGTTGTCAATGAGCAATGTTGAATCCATGCAGCAATTAATGAAATGTTTTATTGAAATTGAGTGTGTRTACCTATTACTTCTGCGTTCTACTACTAAGTCTAAGTTAGCGGCGGATTTGTGATTCCTAATACATGTTTTTTTTAGCTTACGGCCGTCAGAATTTAGCTTATGTGGCCCGCAGATCGTTAYCACGGAAKATATCGTGACATTAATTTATCTTTMGTGTCGATAAWGCGCTGGCTGAAGGTTCGAGATGGCTGAGCCAGTAGACGGCTCAAAGAAACTCAAAGCGCTGGTTGAAGATATTTGAGATGGCTGAGCCAGTAGACAGTTCAAAACACTGCGTGGTTCATTATTCTGTTCGAGAAAGCTACCAGCTTTTAGGACAATTCGACAAAGCTACGGCATCGTTACGAGATCATCGACGAAGCATGAACACACGCGTTTACCACCGCCAGCTACCAAGGAATAGTCGAAATAATAGACTTCACTAGCGAACTAGATTCGCGGAATGCGAAGGTTTTTCTATCGGTAGGGAAAGTTAAGACCGCCAAATCTTCAGACTGCTTTATCAACCGACCACTGTATTCTCAGATTTGGCTCGAGCGTGTTCACTAGCGACCTCAATCCAAGGWATGCGAAATTTGTTCTAYCRTTAGMACCGCCATTTCTACAGATGTAGTCCGAGCGACTTTTTTTTCGACCGACCACCGCATTCTCACATTTGGTCCAAGCGACCACTTTTTGTTTCAAAACTTGAAAAAGACCCTCGCCAGGTAAAAATTAAATGAAGAACTTATTGCAGTCGCAGATAAATTTAAAACTTTAAAAATAAGAAAAKKAGGCGTGGTTATAAACCGATTTCGTATATTATGCGCGCATAAAAGAATCAAATCACAAATCCGCCAAATAACAACTTGATAGACTGTAAGTATGAAGGTGTACGTGAGTATTTTAAACGTGCTTCTTCCGCTCTTCCATCACATGCACTTACCTGTGGACTATCAAGGCGATCCAACGATTGCCGCCGCGACGGATAATCATCCAAATTGAGTATTTGCTGTGCGGCCGGGCAATTCTTATTCGAATGCTGATGCAAATGCTGTTGTGATGATGTCAACTGTGGTGGCGGTGGCGGTGTTATCGAGCCGCATGGACTACCCGGACACGGACTGCCCGGACAGGGACTACTGCAGCGACTGCGACACGTTGGACTGTAGCAGAGATTCGCTTGCGTGCCGGATGGTGTATTTGGGCAAGTATTCGAGTTGCCGCCACCGCCGCCACCACCGCTGCCATTGCCGGTATTGCTGTTCGTTGCCGAGGCTGCGGCGGCTGCTGACGCATTTTGCGTGCTGTTGTCCTCTTCTTGTTGCATCAGATTCACCGGTAATGGTGTACATTGCGTATTGCGTCGTGGCGAACGTCCACGATCGACTGTGGTGGCGCTCCAGTAACCCCAAGCCATGTTGCGGTCAAATACTACGATTSCTTGTTGTTGCTGACGCTTRYACACTTATTGTTTCGGGGTTGGGTAGGAGAGTTGTAGAAAAATTTATTTGTTTTTGGTTTGGTTGGTTTTGTAGATGTATTGCACAGCGTGGTTGTTTCTTGGTTTTTGATCACTTTTTTGCTTTAATCACACTTCGGTTTTTATGTTAACAACACGATTATATATAGATTATATGTACATATAATATTTTTCACAACAAGCAAGATTAAAGCAGCCTTTAAAGAAATTTGGGAACTTTTTGTAATATTTATTATTTATGCATGGCATATTACTATGCGCTATCCGTAAGAAAATCACTCATACGCCACGGTGTACAAAAATTGCTATAGCACAAATGTTGCTCATACCACATGTAGTACAAACACTCGTGTTTTGTTTTTGCTTTTTAGAGGTCTCAGTAATTTTATATACATGTTGTTTTATTTCATAAATATTTTGAAATACTCAAATATTGAAAATAATAAAAAAAAATACATAAATTTGTATGCATAACGACTAGCAACGTCAAAACAAAGTAGAAAAACAAATCAGAATTCTGAAGAAAAAATATGTATATTTATTTAAAAAGTTTATGARTAGACTATAAAATTTCATACCATCTTTTTTCAATTTTTCTAAAGTTAGAACATAAATTATGAAAAAAAAATTGTTGGCAAATAACTTTTG